GCTGCACAACTTTGCCTAGGTTTCTCTCACCTTAGACTGTTTGCATTTTGTTTTCCAGCCAGTCTGGAAGCACTTTTAAACAACCAAACACACTAAAAGTGTCCCATTCATCTTTGGGCAACATTAAATGTTTCAAACCCCTTAGGGACGCTCTGTAAATACACACAAGCCTGAAACGGGGAAAGTGTGGGAACTTTTAAAGTCCATTATTCGCTTTCCTTTTGGCTCTATCCTAACTGTTCCCCTGTGTTTACCACCTTGTCCCTAATTTTGATTCCTTGACATTTAACAGTGTACAGTTAGAGTGCCCCTGGGTTGAAATTAAGTATTTAAGGGCAGTCTAAGAAAAAAAAAATCACATTAACCCAAAACAGGATGTTCAAAGACAATAAAGGTAAACTGCAGAGTCTGATCATGGTAATAATGAAACACAGTTGCACCCCTCGCTGATGATTGCTACAGTGGATTGAGGATTACTTTGTGATACTGCTGATTGTCTGTGAACAATAGTGAGTAATTTGTCAGAGACACCCTCATTTCTGTGACAGCTCAACTGGTACAATTTTTCTTGTATTATTATTGCAGGACTTTGATTGCCAAAGCGAGAATAATAGGCGATTTCAACTCTATTTGAGACAAACATTTCATGAAAACACAAACAACACAAACTATATTTACAAAGGCAGGGCAGACCAGGGGCAAAAAATACTGAATTTGTCAAATTAAAAGCAAGCATGTGTTATTACACGTACTCTGCAATCAAAATGGATTTTGATGTAAAACCTGGGCCTGCAGTTTTTTTTTAAATTTGCTACCTAAACTTTAGATGGTTGTGTTTAAACTTTTCTTTTATCTTGCGGTCACCTGGTCATCTGTGCTTTATACTACTAAGTTAAAAACCCTGCTGTAATACAGAGAAACCTCCAATGAGCACATGACCCCCTATGAGCAAGCACTTGGCAACAGTGGCAAAGAAAAACTCCCTGTTAACAGGAAGAACCGTCTGGGAGAACCAGGCTGAGCGGTTGGGGGGAAGGGGGAGGGAGACACAGCAAAAGACACTGAACAAGAGAACCAGTAATTACCCCATCTAATACTGATGTTCTCTAGATCAGTGGTCCCCAACTTTTTTTGCGCCACGGACCGGTTTATGCCCGACAATATTTTCACGGACCGGCCTTTAAGGTGTCGCGGATAAATACAACAAAATAAAACTAGTACCGGTACCGAAAGAAAGAAGATTTATTCATAACACACGTGAAAAGACCAAGGAAAACCAAGTTAACGATAAAAACGATAACAAAATAACGCTGAAAACCGCTAAAAACCCTGAAAACTATACATTTCACACCTGAGCCTCAACTCTCGCGGCCCGGTACCAAACGACTCACGGACCAGTACCGGTCCGAGGCCCGGGGGTTGGGGACCGCTGCTCTAGAATGCACGCTTGTTACAGTGTAACACGTCATCAGGGCATTTGAGTCAAACATATTATTAACTTCATAATAGAATTAAAATCTAGTCATGACTGGAATAGTTGTTAAATCTTGTGGAAAAATAGAGATCTTTGCCTTGAATGCTCAGTCTGCTCAGCATCTAAACAAATTTGACAGTCTGTAGGCTAAATATTTTAAAGCTATGCAAGTAGATACAGTTACAGTAACGTGACTGCTTTGAATATTGCTTCTGTTTGCAATACAGTGGGTAATAAGCGGTACTTTTCAGTATTACAATGATCTCCACCAAGATGGCAATTGTGAAGCACTTCTTACATTAGGCTTCATGATAATCCTGACATTTCTATGTCCGTAGTCTTTGTCTCCCCAATACTTACAGATTTGTCCTGCATACAGACAGGACAAATCTGTAAGACTGTAAGTTAGAGCCAAAGGAAAATCCACTGCAGTTTTCTTATTCTTATTCTTAACTTTTGGTGACTGAGTTTGCATTTCCTCTAGGATAATGCAAATATTTGCATTTCAAATAAACAAAAACAACATTTCTAATAAGATTTCTGTCAAATAAGGCAACACAGATTCATTCTCTTCGCTGTCGACAGCCCAGTCGTGCTTGCTGTTGTGCATTTGCAGTCACCCACTGCAGTTCTTTTCTCTTCCAGGAAAAACTTTGGATCATGACCTCACAGTTTACTTAATATCTTTTGACACACAACTCTAGGGTATAAACTTGTTTTTTCATTTCTCTGTTGTGGTTTTGGTGACTTTATAAAACTATACTAAAAGTACCAAACTCCCATTACAATAGTCTTTCATTAAAGCAGCACATCTGATTCTGCTCTGAGCCTGTTGCCTCTGGCTAAGCTTCAACAAATCGTGCTTCCCAGACAATGTCTTGGGTTTTAATCAATAGGAAATAATTCACATGAACTACGTTAGAAATCAGAAGTATAACTCGCTGCTCCAAAGTGCTTTACTCTGCTCCAGAATATTTGCTTCACCATTAGGTCAGTGTGAACCTGCTCATCCTGTGTCTTGGTTCCTGGAGGGATCGCTATCATCAGAGCGGGATTTCTGTCAGGATGATGTCTGAACTCCTCCTCTGCTTTTTTATTCAGCAGTTTCCTTCTCCCACTTTTCCTGTGTCTTCCCTGGAATTTTCCATTCCCTGTCTTACGTCAGCTATAGTCAAGTTGCCCTCAGAGAGTTTACCTCCTCTTGAGAACGGCTGACCTTGCGGCTACTCTGCCCACCCACTAGGCATTCGTTGAGTCCCAGCAGAGACGGTCTTTTCCAGATTGTTGCTGCCAAGCTGCTGTAACGTTCCAGTCATTGCTGTCACCTGCACACAATTACTGCCCTTCCTGTTTTAGTCCTTTTCAAGTTGTTTGTCTGACTCCTGCTGCCTGCCCATGGCTGACGTGGGTGAAGATCAAAATGTCAGTAATCATTGTCAGTATAGACCAATAAGAGGTAAAACTTTAAAGATGACCAAAGATTTGAATTTTTTAAAAAAGCCTGGTTCCACTTTGTGGCACCGCTGTTCGTCTTTTTCTTTTTCGTTTCTAATCCCAATAAAAAATACATCAAGCATCTTTTTCTACCTCTGCACACAAATACTGTTAAAGTAATGCTTCAGTTCGGCTGAACAGCTTCCACTGAAAGCGACAGTGTAACATCACCGTGCCCACCTTCTGCAGCACAATTGTCGAGGTGTGTTAGTTAATCCTCCCACGCACAGCCGGCACCTTTCCACTTTCCCCAGCCAAGTGGTGCCTATTCAGACTTTTTCATGAGAGAGGCAGATGTGTTTGTTCGTTCCCCCAAAGCTCTGTCAGCACACAGAGGGAGGCACACACACACCAAACAGACAAGCAACGCGAAGCTGTGCAAGTTCTAAAGCGCAGTCGCTGTGCAGCTGAAGGGCATTTGCTCATATTTGTGGGGTTTGGGCACTGGCATTCTGTCTTCTGTCAAATGAACAAAGAATTGATCGTGCTAACAGTTATTATCTGTGCACAGCTTGATATCACTTATGCCTACACACTAAAGAATTGCAGTTCACAATAAAGCGGCTGCATTTCCAATATCCAGAGAGTAACATACACTGCTTTGTTTTTACAGTGTTTTTGGGGTTTAATGAGTTGAGCTGAAAGTGAATTTGCTTTTTTCTGGTCTCTTTCACATGTGTAGGGTACATGGAAAGTAAAGAAAGCAGCAGCAATGTTGGAAGCTGGAGCCTATCCCAGCTGTTGTAGGGCACGAGGCAGGATACACCCTGGACAGGTCGCAAATCTACTGTGAACATGTTTATTTCTGGTGTTAGCTCCTTTATTCTCAAGCGATCACCACAGCAGGTAGTTCCACGTTTGATTTGGCAGATTTTTTTTAACCAGATGTTCTTCCTGAGGCAGCGCCAAAGGTATTTGTGTCTCTTCCCAGAATCAAACCTGGGAACCTTTGATTGCTAGGCAAATGTGTTAACCACTACACAACCACTGTTTATTTATGCTGTTAAGTGCTGCATGTTATGGTCGTCTACAGAGATTGGCTTGAATTTGGAGCCAAGCTCAAGTGGCCATTCAACGACAGCATATTATCTGAGATTTGGTAGGCATAGGAAAGATCTCGCTCACCTTCTAGCAAGTTAAATTTAATGTGCTTTCAGGTGAGAACATGCTGTTAAAAATAGTATAAAAAAAAGCCACAGGTGCCCTTTAACTGTTCCCTTGAGGGAGTTTGCCAAAAGCCATTACTGTAAGATTAGTAAAGAGTGGTGGCGTATGCCTGAAGTAAGCAAATAGACCATTAATTCAGTTTTAATGTTTAAGCCAGAAATCACCTGTTGAAGGGAAAGATGGATGTCTGGCTTTCTAGAAAGCCCCAGGCAGCCTGTTTTCTTTTCACAGTCAAGCGAGCGAGCGGAATGAAGCTGATTTACAGGTCGGCTTTAGCACCGTTTTAATTATCCTCTCTCTGTGCGTCTTTCCTCCATCCTCCAGATGGACCCGGTGCAGAAAGCCGTCCTCCATCACACCCTCGGACTCCCTCCCACCGCCAAGAGGAAGCACGTCTCCTGCAGCGTTTGCCAGCTGAGGTTCAACTCACAGGTGAGGAAGTTTTTCTTCTGAAGAGGAAAGAAAGTTCAAAAGTCACAAGTACTCCTGCAAGAGATGAACACTGAAAAGAAAAAGAAAGAAACGAGAAAAATGGCATCACATCACAACCTGCACAGGAGAAAGTTTAAAACTCTTCCTGCCCTGCTGTCAGCCATACTGTCTTTGAGTTGAAGGTATTCTCTTGCACACGGTAACACATACTGTCACTGTGGCTAAAGGGTAAGATTAAAGGGTAACACAGAAGTTTTAAAGAGAAAAAGTGGAATCGTCTTCATTCACTGCGCGGGGACAGTCAAAGAGCGATTTAGCAGTGCATTAAATGTGTGTGCATTTCGTGCTCTGTTAGGGTTTGGTGTTCTAATAACCTTACGAGCCAATGCGTACTTATTATTAAATCATTATAGACTGCATATAAAAAGATGGCCTTGATCTTAGGGTCTGAAAAGTGAAGTCAGTGTGGGTGGGTGGGCCTACAACCTGCTTTCTTTTAAATGCACTTCAGTGGGGAACCGCTGGGTTAGCAAGCTGCATAAACTGCATGGGTCCAATGCAGTACAAGAGGTCATCTCACCAATCAGAATCAGAATAGTTTATCAATACCTGAGGAAATTATGTGGTCACAGTTGCTCCATGACAGTAAGAACAGAAACTAATGGAACTATATTAAATAATAAAATATATTATAAAGATACAAAATTTAATAAAACATGTCTAATAGATACAAATAGCTCTAATTATGATTATCCCAGTATATTGCTCAATTTAAATATATATGGCTGACACTGAGATGCACCTCATATCATACTGTACTTTCTCATTTTCTCTGTAGTAGAGAAAATACAAGCTTCTTGTATGGTGGGTGCTGCACAGAGGCCAATATTAAAAGCATCAATAGGACAAACATGGTGGAAAGGTCCATGTCAGTGAGTCCAGTTAGTGCAGAGGAGACTTACCAGGTGGCGACACCTGCCCATCACTCCCCTAACCATTTTAACATACAGCTCTATGGTGTCTTTTGAAGTCACCCTCGAGTGGCACCAAGAGGAACTGCTTTTTTTTCTGCTTCCATGTTTCTTCATTTTTCAGCCCTGGAGGTTTGATCTTGGTTTGCAGATGGAGCCCAGATTGTCTATGATAAACTGACTCTTAATTAATGCCTACCAGGATGAGTTTAGAGTTGTAAGTATTATTTTTTTCTACAACATGGCATTTAATTTGTAAATCATAGTCCAGTGTTACCAGATGGGTGCCTTTGATTTCTCTGAGCCGGGCTTTAATTCTGCAAAAAAAA